CTACAGGAGGATGCAGCAGAGGTGGCAGAGGAGCTAAAGGTTGAGGAGGCAGCAGAAGCAGGCCCGGCAGCGGACGACGCAGCAATCGATCAGGCTGCCGTACATATGGATATTGATTTGGAGCTGCCTGCCGAGGACGCAGAGCAGCACTTTCCAGTTGGATCACCCATTCATGATGAGGAGCAAACTCAGGATCATCATTCTTCCGATCCAGCCACACCTAAGGCTCCAGATCACATACCCAACTTTGGAGAGTGTCTTCAGACTCTGGAGGACACAGTGGTATCTATCTGCACAGAGACTGTCGCCCTCAGAGCTGACATTGCTTCCCTCCGCACGGATGTCATGGCCACATTTCGTGATCTATCCCGAGACATCCGCTGAGCACGTCCTGCCCGTCCTGCCTCATCTACCTAAGATTCCCAGTCCCTCTTCCTTATTATACTTGATATTTGTGATACTTGCTACATTTTTGTCACTGTATACTATTTTTGCAGCCGGTCTGTCGGCTTTGATTTTATGATGTACTATGTACTTTATCCTACTTTATATATATGCTTTCTTTATGGATGTCATATTCTTATATTCTTATATCTGTCTGTTTGACTCCATCATGTGCATCTCAGTGACTTCAGTGAGAGAGAGTACTGCCCAAAATTTTCAGGACCACCCTTTTACCTCTCTCTATTTCCAATTACTATCCCATTTACATTTGCACGACCACTGTGCACTGTATTATCCGTTTTGTTATCTGATGAGTTTTATCCAAGTGCCAAATTTCAGGACCACAGTTAATCCTAAGTTTGGGGGGGCTATACCACCCACTTTAGATACTTCTGTCCCGGCCATTCTTTGCCTTAATTGCACTGGTATACTCTTTCCTTTTGTTCTCTTTTTACATTGAGGACATTGTGCCATTTAAGTTTGGGGGTAATGGTGCTTTGCAGTGTTTGTTTTTAAATTCAAAATTTTGAGCATGTCTTGTGTATTTGAGAGATTTTCTATGATTGGTCCATGACTAGCTATGATTTTAATCTTTTGAGGACTATATTGCTTAAAATTTAAAAATTGTTTGACTTGAGAGTTCAATACTCCTTGTATGCCTTGTGGATGCCATTTAGGATTAAATTTTTCGAAAAATTGATATCTTGCTTACACTTGTGGTCCACATCATCCTGATTTTGTGATTATTTTGAGATTCACTATAGGGTTCTACACTAGCACAGGCGCACACTAGCATTCATTTGTAGGGTACATGTTTTGTTGATTATTGAATTGGTTATATCCCAATTGGGCTAGTAGTGCATTGAAAGCTTTCATTCTTAATAGAGGTGGATAACAACCCCTTTTCATTAAGTAGCTGGGATTCTAGCCTCATCAAGCACTGAATTTCTTGCGTCGAAAGGTGGAGGGCCCAAACTCTAGGTTAATAATTGGATTCAAAAAAAAAAAAAAAAAAAAAAAAAAAAGGGAAGTTGTAAAAGCAATTAAAAAAAAAAAGGTGAGGACTTCTCTCAAAAGGTGAGAAGTGAGAAATGATTAGATGGAGGTTGTTTTAATTTGTAGCCTAGTCGATTTGAGCTTGTAAGTCCGTAGGGGTGTTTGAACACCTAGTGCCCTAAAGCCGTCTGGTTTGTACTAGTGCCCTAAAGCTGTCTGGTTTGATTCCTCAACCTAGTACGACACTCAATCCCTTAGGACGATCCCTACTCACCCTAGCTATATTTTTAGTGAAAGGTAGTAGTGGCAATTTCTAAATGTAAAACTTGGCCATATTGCAGATAAACTTTTGGATACCACCACATTCGGATGCGTGACCTCCAGACCCAATGAATGTGCAAATGAAGCAAATATGAATGAATGCGATGCACCTGTGTCAACAAAAACTCTAGCCCAAGAACTGAAAACTGGAAAGATACCTCGAACTGTAGAAGTCCCAGCAAAGGTATCAGCCTGTGGTAGTGCGTAAGCTCGTCCCTGAGCCCCAGACAGCTGTGAACTGCCCTGGTGGCCCGACTGATGTCCGGAAGCAGTAGGCGTAGGGCCTTTGACCGGATAAGAACCAACTAGCGACACTACTGACTGCGGTGCCTGAGGCACCCTGAAACCTGACTGCACAACTGCTGACTGTGCCGGTGCGACCTGTGAACCTATGCCACTCTGTGTCCTGCCTTGCAATTTCGGACACTCTCTCCTGAAGTGAGCTGGTTGCTTGCAATAATGACAAGCTCCGCGAACCCCTTTCGTCGAAGCTGTAGGCTTACTAGCCTGTGACTGACTGACCTGTGGCTGAAGCTACGGGCAGCAAGGCTTGATATGCCCCTGCTACTGACAGTGGTGACAAATCACTCCCCGAGCTGACCTCTAAGATATTGGAACTGCTAGTACAGACCGAGCCTGCTGTGACTGTCCCTGAGTACGTGAACTGTCCCCGGCTTTAGCCTTCTTCCACTAACCCCCAATAGATACTGATGAAGCCTCTCCACGCGACTGATTATATAAACCCTTGATCTTGAGTTGATCGCGGTCCTCTGCCTCAACCAACATAGCTTTTTGTACTACCTCCCCATAGGTCCTCAATTCTAATACCAAAATTCGTGGCCAAATATTAAGATGTAACCCATCCTGAAACTTCCTCGCCCTGAGCTCCTCGGTAGCTACCATCTCCGGTGCATAACGGGCTAGAGAAGTGAAGCATGTCCCATACTCAATGACACTCATCCTGCCCTGATAGAGACCTGTGAACTGCATTCTCATGTCCCGTCTCATAGCCCTCGGAAAGAAGCGGTCAAAGAACAATGCCCTGAACTCCTCCCATGTCATCACCTCCATATCATGGGTTTTGGTTATAGACCTCCACCAGATATCGGCATCTCTAATGAACATAGAAGATGTTAAGGAGATCCTCAATCGGTCCGTAGGTACTTCCATACTATCAAGCTTGCGTACCATGAGATTAAGCCATGCCTCTGAAACAAGCGGATCCATACCCCCTGCAAACTGGTCGATCTTAACCCGCTGTAACTTCATGAAGTAGTCCAATGCCTCATTAGCAACTGGTGCTGGTGCTGGTGCTTGTGCCGGAATCTACATCCCTGCCATATGCTGATGAAACATTTGCTGAATGCACTCTAACATCCCCAGAGCCACTCCTTGCGCAATCTGCTCCTCATAAGTCGGCGCTCGTGGTGGATTAGGATCCATACCACCAGGTCGAGACCTGGGCCTACCTAGACCCCGTGCGAGCCCGGTGTCTACAACCTGCTCCTCAACTTGCTCATCCACTCCAACATGACGAAAAGACTCTCCGCGAGTCAAGACCATGGTGCTACATACATAAGGGGCAAGGTTAACAACAATGCTAGTCATTAAGACCTAATGCAGCTCATGCCACGAATACACGAAGCAAGTAGCACATAATACAAGCAAGAGATGTATGCAACATACAGTCATGCTAAATATACAAGTATATACAACATGCTAACACCCTATAAGCATATACAAAATGCTAACGCATATAAGCATATACAACATACTAAAATATTTAAGGTAGACTCCAAACCATACTACCATATAAGCACATAAATATGTTATTAAATCAAAACATGTTATCAAGGAACACGTAAACATATCAAAGCATGTCAACAAAAGTATGATATGCACCCAAAACCCGTCGTCCAAAGGTTTTTGAACCTAGGAGCTCTGATACCACTTGTAACGACCCAAGTTTTTTAACCTGATGCGTCAGTGATGACCCGTAAGCTAATCCAGTAATAGATCCGTATGCGGAAGCAAAAGATAAACCAAGGTCTCTAAAGTTAGAAGTCATCCCTAAGACACTGGTGTGACCTTCCATGAAGTCATGGAATTTAGGAATAGGAGTCAAAACGGGCAAAATTCGTCCATCAAGGGCAAAATGGTCAATTTACAATTGAGAAGGGGAATTTGACTCTAAAAAAGTCAAATAAGGTCCACACAACCTAAAAAAATTATTTCACAAAATTATTTCACAAATTATTTCCCACAAAATGCCCTTACCTGGTTTAAGCGAAAACTGACACCCTCCCACTAAAACCTGAATAACTCCCACTGTGATTTGAATTAGAGGATGGGATTCATATCATTGGAAATCTGACTCAAAATCCTTGAGTTTAGGCTCAAGAATCACCCCATTTGGGTTAGAAATGAAGAAGTTATGGCCATTTGAAGTCGGAACTTCAGTGCTGAAGCAAAATCTGGAAGACAGGTGCATAAGGGGAGTTTCGGTCGACCGAAATAAAGTTTCGGATGACCAAACTGGACAGAATACTTTCTAAAGACATGTTTTTAGAGGTTGGTTGGTTCAGTAGACTGATTTGAGGCCATCGGTCAATCGAAATAGAGTTTCAGTCGACCGAAACTCCCCTCATGCACCTGTCTTCCAGATTTTGCTTCAGCACTGAAGTTCCGACTTCAAATGGCCATAACTTCTTCATTTCTAACCCAAATGGGGTGATTTTTAAGCCTAAACTCAAGGATTTTGAGTCAGATTTCCAATTAAACCAATCCCATCCTTAGATTCAAATCACAGTAGGAGTTATTTAGGTTTTAGTGAGAGGGTGTTAGTTTTTGCTTAAACCGGAAAAAGGGCGTTTTGTGGGATTTTTGTCCATAGTTCTTAGAACCTCTTAGGATGTTGTGAAATGATTTTTTTAGGTTTTATGGACCTTGTTTGACTTGTTTTGAGTCAAATTTCCCTTCTCAATTGTAAATTGATCATTTTGCCCTTGATGGACGAATTTTGCCCGTTTTGACTCATATTCCTTTTTTTTTTTGCTCTCTTTAACTTCCATGACTTCATGGAAGATCACACCAGTGTCTTAGGGATGACTTCTAACTCTAAATACCTTGGTTTATCTTTTGCTTCCGTATACGGATCCGTTACTGGACTAGCTTACGGGTCATCACTGACGCACCGGGTTAAAAAACCTGGGTCGTTACAATTCCGACAACGCAAGACTGCAAAACCAAATACATATATACCTCTTTCTCTATATATATCTATATACCTTCTTTCTTTCTCTTTTAAAAACGTAGGATTCCCAGTTGCTTACACGATCTCTTCCTCCCAAAACTCCTTCTCCACATACTTACGATTCTGGGATTCATTAGAAAACTCATTCCCACCCTCGTTCAATCTCTGGGTCTCAGTGATTTCCTCGAACCCAACATTTACTGGACGGACCGACCCTATTCCGTTTCCGAATTCTACTCCGTCTTAGCCGTCCTGATCCAGGAACTCCTACCCGTCATGAAATTCTCCGACCGGGTGGACCCGCACGAGAGTTGTGCGGTGTGCCTATACGAGTTCGACGGTAGTGATGAGATGAGACGATTGACCAGTTGCCACCACATATTTCACCAGAGGTGTCTAGATTGTTCTATCATCTCCTCTATTCCCGACAACACAACGCTCTATCTTCCATTAATTGTAAAGAATACAACATCGAACGTCTCACCGACTATTAGGGTTATGCATCAGATCGCTCTCTACTCTAATCTGTTGCTCTCTATCTCACTATCTCTCCATCACTGGTAAGTGCTCTCATTTTATATTGGGATTTGATTTACAATTATTGAGATTTTGAGGCTTTAATTTGGTGTCTAGGGTTACAAGAATTAGTTTGGTTTTATATGGTATTTTTTATGTGAACTTATTTAGGGGATTTGTTTTGTTGTGTTTTATTTTATTTTTTAACCTAAAAACATGTTTGGTTTTATAAATTAAACTTACTCGGACTTTCCAACAGGACAAACTTCAGAATAAACTCCCTTCAATTTGTTATTTAAAGAAAATTATTCATCATCTTACTAAACGAAACAATATATGTAAATCCTTCTAATAATGTGTGTAAATGAGAATGAAAACAACACACAAATAATAAACCCAAACAATAAAAAGGGCAGAGCTCTCAAACAAATACCCAAAGTTTTCCACACTAGAAAACTATAAGAAGGGGCAAACCCTCTCAAAGATTAAGCCAAAGTGAGAGAGCCACCATTCATCAATGTTGGCCTTCATCTTTTCTCTATACGGAAGAGGTATTAATATTTGATATTAATCACATACTTCGGCCATCTTTTCTCTATAAGGAAGATGTATTCATGTCACTTTTAATGATATAAGTCACACACTTTTTCAACTTAAATCCTAAGTGGGTTTGATTTAAAAGATCTTATCTATTTGGTTTAGATTTAGTTTATTAAATTTGCACAAATAAATAAGTAATTTAAATTTGCAAGAAAAACAAGCTTAGTGTTCTATTATTATTTAAAAGATCCTTAATATAATTATGTTTTGCGATAAGTGTTTAATCCAATTACCTTTTGTTTTATGTCTAAGAGTGCAATAACGAATCAAGATGCTGCATTTGCATGGAAAAAATCATACAATTTAGTGCATGAAGGTTACGTTGTATAACTTGAATGATACTTTTTTAGGCATTCAACAAGGCTTCCAAGAAGAAATTTGACAGTGATCCTGATTTCAACTAATGTGCACTAGGCTGCTGTCATTCTTCAAGTGAATAACTTACTTTTATAGCTCAAGCACTTGTGAGGTTGACTTCAAATGATGTTGGAATTCTTTCATTTACTTGGTGTTTTTATCTGAAACTGATTATATTTATAATTTTAATTATAATGCCTTTAATGCATGCTTTTGTTTGTGGCACATGACTTCTATGCATGCTTTTGTTTATGGCACATGATTTGGTTTGTCTCTGCTTTATAAGCGTTATATGGGTGCTTACTGTGCTACTCATATTTGGAGGTATGAGTTGTGGTGTCAATGGTGTTTGTTGTACGTAATGTAAACTTGTTGACAGATTTTTGCTCTTAAGAAATTTCACCCATGGAATGTTTAATTGGAAGTTTTGATCATTGGGTGAATAGAAGTAGCAGTTTTTGTTTCATATATGGTTTCCAATTATGCATAAGCAATCTTGTTAGCAGGTTTCTGTTTTGGTGTGTCCCACTTGTGTGCAATGATAGCCTCCACTTACTTTATCTCACATTTCAATATTACACTTTCATCATTATAATAAAGGTTCTTATATTAATTCTAATTTTCTTTTATTTGAATAATTATTTGGCAGTAAATAATGATCAGTTAAATTATGTTTTCTTATTAATTACAATTTTATTTTCTCTTATGATTGGTAGAAGCACCATTATTGAACATATGACTAGAAACCTTATTAGCTCACTGGAACTCATGAAACCCAAGGATTGACAAGTTTCACACTTTCCCTTTTATTTTTCTCCCTCTCATCCCATGGTTAAAAAAAATTGTTCATTATTCTACGAGAAGTTTTTTCTCTTTAAATTATTTTAATGATGTACAATATAAAGCATGAACACAAATCCAACACACACACATACACATAACTGTTCACACTTAGCCAACCTACACACCACATATCTAATAGGACAATTACTATTTTATTTTTAATTATGTTTCCTTTGTTTTTCTTCATGATGTTCTTCATTTTTTTATGCCTAAAACGTGTAATATCTCTCTCGTTTCTTCAGAATATTCATGGGATGGCTGCTTGAGTTCACTACATACATTTGCCAGGACTAACTTTTTAGGATGTTGGGTTCTTTATTCTTCTAGTTCGTATTTTCTTTCTTTTCCTCTCTTTATGTGAAATGAACAGTTTAGTGACCTAATGGAACATTCTCTTTTGAAGTTAACGAATTGCCTTAAGTAATAGGTTTTGAAAGAGTAATTGGTTATATGGGTTGCAATGTACATTTTAGAGCTTCTGGTTTAAGATTTATAAAACCTTTATTTTAAATGGTGTATAAGGGAATCAAAGTGATACATATCCATAGTAGTTGTAAGATCAATAGTAAAGTTACAGTTATAAAGTTCTTTCACCTTGATGGAACCAGTAGGACTATGCTTCCATTTGCGTGTTTTTCACATAAATATATAAAGCAGAGACGAAAGAAAGCATGTGTGCACCCATCATGATTCAAATTTAAGAGTCTCTATGGTGATGGAAATTGGAGAAGCATTACAAATTTGGTTTGTATTTAAAGCAGGGTTATCTATTTTTTCTTTTTGCACGGAGAATGTTCAAACTATACTATTGTTGTTAATATTTTTAGGAGTTGTTTAGTACCTCAATTAGTATTTATCATGACCATTAGCATAATAATTGAACTATTACATTATAAGTATTCTTTAAAAATTTATTTCAATCTTAAAATTCTAATTTCATTTTTTTTTCTTCTTCTTTTTCTTTTTCTTATTTATTTATTTTATTTTTTTGCAGGTTTCATATTGATTGCAATCTAGCTTCCCTTTTCGGATTCGGATCTCGAATTTCTTTTGGGATTCTAATATGTGTATGTGATTAACATTGTGTAATATTGGATTCGGATATTGAATTTCTTTTTCGATTTTGAAATGTGCTTGTAGTTAGTATTTTAGATTTTGGATTATTTGCACATTTTAATATTTGAATTCTTAATGGAATGTGTGTTTGTTATCTTCTGTGTTTGATTATAAAATATATTAATTTCGAGTGAGATGTTTGAATCTTAGATTAGATTTTTTAGTTTCATGTTTCAAATAGGTGAAAACAAAATTATATTATTGCATTTGTCACAGGATAAATTATTTTGTCACAATAAAATAGCTTATAGTGACAACATATTTGTTGCAGTATGGTTAAGTATATTACGACAAAATATTTTTGTCACAATAAAATTGCTTATAGTGATAAAATATTTGTCGTAACATGGTATATATATGACGACAAAATATTTTGTCACAACAAAATAGCTTATAGTGACAATATTTTTGTCATAACATGATACATATATTGCGACAAAATATTTTGTCACAACAAAATAGCTTATAGTGACAATATTTTTGTTACAACATGATACATATATTGCGACAAAATATTTTGTCACAATCAAATAGCCTATAGCGACAATGTTTGTCATAAAAGTTTATACATATAGTGACAAAAAAAAATTTTGTTACAAAATAGTGATGAATAGCGACAAATTTCATAAGTGTTATAGTGTTTAAGACGACAATTATCGAACATTTTATGACAAATGTTTTGTCGCAATTTTTTCACATTTTGTGACGAAAAAGAATTTGTTGCAATATATTGTACTTCTAGCGACAAAACAATATTTGTCATGAAAAACATATTGTGAAGGGTTTCTAGCGACAAATTGGCGACAAAATTTTTTTTGTCGAGATAATCTTTTCATGACAAAATATGCATTTTTAACGACAAACTCTTTTGTCGCCCAAGATCAAATTTGTTGTAGTGGGTGTCGAGTCCTCATAGTATTCCCGATGACAGTGGTTAGTGGCAAGATTGTGTAGTTATAAGTCCGGATTCCAAGTGATTAAAGGTTTTATACGTGTTGTCCTGAGTGATTTATCTCCTTATGTGTAAGGAGTTCATTTCATCTCGAGGGAGATTGGGTGCCCACGATGGGACGTTTGACAAGTAATATGGGGTGTTAGGTACACTTAGATCCAATTTGTCAGTCTCTTAGAAGTGCGGGATTTATTACCCTTTCTGGTTGTGCTAGTCCTAACAAGGACTTTATCGGTTATGAGTGTTGTTCTTCCATTTAGGAGATGGTATGCATCCGCGGATGGGTGGACCCGTGTGCAGCCTTCTCTAGTAAAGGTTTGATTTGACTTACTCCCACGGAGGGCGGTGAAGTCTCCGGGTTTTGTAGTGCTTGTTTTGAGGGTGGTCTTGACCGGTGGAGTGTATGGCAGGAGTTGTAGAGTATTGATTATGTAATCTTAGTGTCTGATGCTAGCATTGATAGCTATGGGATGTGTCATGAATCGTAAGTGTGAGGATGAATAGGTGATGTGATGTGATTCGTGTACTTAAATGTTTCCGTAGTTGTTTGCGTTAAATAGTGTCTTAAGGACAAGTGTTCATATCGTTGAGTACTGTGTAGTTACAGAAATAAATGTGGGATTCTCTTAAGGAGTAATTGTGACGTTTGATTATGGGTTTGGGATTCCAAGAATGATATAGTCTTAGGAGGTGTTTTAACGAGGCAGCAATTCAATCGAATGATGTCGTGGAATTGTTAACCTGCTATAGGTGTTATGAAATAACCGAAGAGCTTTTATGCTGGTCGTTGATTGTGGAGTGTAGTATTGCATTATCCTTTGCTCATTATAAGTTGTGTGATCAGGGTTTGACTAGGGTGCTCAGAGTAATATGTATGACGATGTGACTGTATAGCTGGTGAGGTTACGTAGAACGATGATCATGTAATGAGTAAGTCTTGTGGTTGTAGTATGGACTGCGTAAGATTATGTTAGAGGTTTGGACCTAAGGACGGGAACGACGTCGGTATATATACCGGATTAATGACGAGAATGGCTTAGCCAACCATTTCTCTTGAATCGGTCCCTCTTCAACACGATATCGGGTCAAAGGTCAATGATTGATTTGACTTGTTAATGATAGTAAGAGCATGGTGTTGTTCATTGTGTCAATGTGGATTCAAGTAGTATGTTTTAGTTAACGAGGTGTTTTAGGCAGGACTATGTGTCTAATGAAGGTTAATAGTTTGATCATTTGATTCTTGAATATGCTTTGGGGATTTGTATCCTAAATATGTGATAATACATTTTGTGGTTTGTGTGACTTATGCTTACGTAGTCATTGAAAGATTTTTTGCTTAACCATTTTGGGAGATGAGGAGTTTATTGATTACTAGATGCTGTGATTAGTAATCGCTTATACGGTTATGTGATGATGTAGCTACGTACTATGTAGTATGTGTGTAGTTGTTAAGAATGTGTTGACTTAGAATTGAGACTCGTTATGTAGTAGTCGGGATTTTTTTCTTGAGTTTTGTGTATCCTTTTAAGGATGAGTTGGGTTGGAAGTCATCGTGTTCGGTGGTCTTGTGACCATTCTTCTTGTGAGCTTTGGAGCTATGTGGGGATGTGTAGGGTGTGTAGAATCCAATGGTTTATGTGGTAGGACGCTAGGTGATGAGAACCCACATAGGGTGGTGAACATTGTGTCATTAGTGACAGGGGTGTGTAATTGTCTATTGACGTCCGGTGTCAAAGGCAATAAGGTTTGCGACCTTGTAGTCTTGCGAGTTTTGTGAGGTGTTCTTTAGGAAAGTGACCAGTTGTGGGCCTCCTTCCTAAGGAGGGTAGATTTTGAGGATAAAATCACTTTAAGGAGGGTAGATTCTAATGTACTAGATATTTTACGAATTTTTTTCGAAATTTTATTTTATTTATTTTTTGCGTCTCGTTTTGCATGCACGTAGGCCCCGAGAGCCGTTTTGGTCATGTTCTTGAGTCGAGAGTTTTAGTAATGTATTTTTAATTATTTTAAGTCAATTAGAAGTGACGATATCATTTTTAGAATTTTTTGGGAGTCGGAATGATTTTCGGACTCGGGAATTTCTCCCGATTTTGTCTTTATGCATTGAGAGGCATTATAGTCTTTTCACACATATACACATAAATCTATATCTATACATTGAGGTAGATATTTTGGGGACATGGATAGTGTATGGGTTATTGAGTCGGGGCATTAAGGTAAGTTTGCCTAAATAGGGGAGACACCATTTAAATGTTGACATATGGCAAGAGTGGGATCACTTCCTCATTTGCATGACAAAGCCATTTTCCCCCTTCTTTCCCCATTCTCGGCCACTTCTTCTTATCTTCTTATCTTTTCTCTTTATCTATATACATTTATGCATACATATGTACCTTAAAGCTAAGATTTGAGGGGGTTAGGGTGAGTTTTTGAAGAAGACCAAGAAGGAAAGGTTGGAGAGCCTGGAGAGAGCTTCCTTTTGACACCATTCATGCATGGGTTTGGAGGGATTTCAAAAATTGGGAGGTTTAAGGCATGTTTGGTTTGCTCCACGGAGGTAGGGATCCCTAATGTTCTATACTTTACCTTTTATTAAGCAATCTTCTCTTAATTCTTTATTTAACTATGTTGAATGCATGTTTTATGAATCAAGTGATAATTGTATAAGATGTGATGAAAGTATGCTAGTTCTTTGATCTATAAAATGCTTCATTTCCATGTTAATGAAATGTTATCATTAAGTATTTGAAGAAATTGCCTAAATGTGCCAAGGTGTTAACATGATTTTTATTAATATGATTTACATGGGAAACATGCTAGTGATTATAATATTGAGAATGTTATACTTGTGCTCAAATTATAAAGAATGTCATATTGATGTCATTGTTGTTGTATAGTTGTGAATTGAAGTTGAATGGATGCGATTGAATCATATGCATGGCATGGCGGGGAATTATGAATAAAAAGGAAATTGGACCATTTTAAAATGGTGAGGAAATTGAAAAAGACTTATAAGTTAACCATCTTAGGATGGCCGGAAAAGAGAAATTTAGAAATCGACCGGGTATTGCGAGCTTGGTGCTAATTTAGAGGGGGCGCGGTCCGATGTAGGACATAAAAAAGTTGATACTAGGCCCCAAATGGCCAAGAGGCTAAGGATTGTGTCAATCCTAACTCGGTAAAGTCGATTAACATAGGTGGGAATTGGGGCCGGTAAAGGCCAAGTTTGGAGTTGGTTGAGATTAAAGTTGGGAAATTATGGGGCATTGCATTGCATTCTATGCACACTTATATAAAATGCCTAAATGTTATTGTTGAGATTGATCCGTAAATTAAATGCTTTGAAAACCCCAAGTATGATCTCGGTTCTCTTGTATCCCGTATGTGTGATGTGTAGCTCAAGGGAGTCCAAAGTTAGCTCTTTAGGCATTTTCTATCGAGCCTCCGTGCTCACCCCTTCCTTCAATATTTTTCTGGTTATGACAAAGAGGTGATCAATGATAGACCTTCACATGTATAGTTAGGGTTGATGTGAGCTTCTTTTGTTATTCTTATAACTGATGCTTAATTTATGTATACTTTTGTAAAGTGTTGTAATTTCGACCGTAAGGGTCTATAATTGTAGCTTGTATTCATTTGGATCACTTTTAATGTAATATGGAGTATGTAAATGGATTTCACTAAATTTTATAATTTCAAGAACATAAATTGATGTATTAATTTCATATTCCACATCTTATGCATGCTTGTGAGTTGGGACAGGGGTATTTTGGTCAAAAAGTTCAAATTATAGCTCAGGGATGGGAACAGAGATGAAAAAGGGGCTAAAAGGGTTTTTTCAAAAAAAATAAGGGGATCGATCCCCCCTTCCAAAACAAAATAGGAGTTCTACCAGGTGGTGGGCGATGTGGGGGATCAATCCCCCATTTTTTATTTTTTCAGAAATTGTCTTTTAACTTTGAGTACTCATAACTTCTTCGTAAACCCAAATATGTTGTTCTTGAGTCATCTTTCTAATGGTGTAGGTCTCATTCCATAATTTTTATATGAAATAACAATTTTACCCTTATCAACCCTAGGCACCTAAAGTGATCCCATAGTCGAGGATATCACTCTTTCATGAACCGATTTGGTTAGAA